AATAAGACCTTGGAACTTATTTCCCGCGATTTCTGGTGGCCTCAAATGTGGAAGGATGTGAAAGATTTTGTTATATCTTGTGACATTTGTTCAAGATCCAAAAACCCTCGACATTGGCCTTATGGACTTCTACAGCCATTGCCTATTCCGCGCCGACCATGGTCTTCGGTTTCCATGGACTTTATTACGGATCTACCACCATCGAATTCATTTGACAGCATTTTTGTTGTCGTAGATCGGCTTACAAAGATGGCACATTTTGTCCCTTGCAAGAAGACATCGTCAAGCAAAGACACAGCAAGACTCTTTATTGATAATGTGTATCGATATTATGGTCTACCAGATGATATCGTATCGGATCGAGGAACCCAGTTTGTGTCAAAGTTTTGGAAATCTCTTTTTGAGATATTGAAGGTGGATATCAAGCTTTCTTCAGCATTTCATCCTCAAATGGACGGCCAAACAGAACGAGTGAATCAAGTTTTAGAGCAATATTTACGTGGCACCATCAACTATCAACAAGATGATTGGGCCGCATATCTACCGCTAGCCGAGTTCGCATATAACAACACCCTTCATGCGTCAACTTAACAAACGCCATTCTTTTTCAATTATGGATACCATCCGAAGCTTGACTTATGTAGTTCGTCAATGATTAACAATCCGGCAGCTGAAGGATTGGTGAAGGAGCTTTCGCAACTTCAAACTATATTGAAGCTTCAATTGCAAACTGCCCAAGAATCTTACAAGGCGTCCGCGGACAAATTTCGGAATCAGGCACCTAAATTCACGATTAGAGACAAAGTTTGGCTGCTTCGACGAAATATTAAGACCAAGCGGCCATGTGACAAATTGGACTATCGGAGATTGGGACCATTTGTTATCCAGAAGCAGATCAATCCTGTAGCGTATCGTCTGGAGTTACCAGCTACTATGAAGGTACATCCTGTCTTTCATGTTTCTTTGTTGGAGCCTTATCGAGAATCGTCTTTTCCTGGAAGAGTTCAATGTCCACCATCTAGCATAGAAATAGAGAACCACGAAGAATACAAGGTGGAAAAGGTCCTGGATTCACGGCAAAGACGGGGTAAATTAGAATACTTTGTGCATTGAAGCGGTTACGATATTAATGAACGAACATGGGAGCCGGCCGAAAATCTCGCGAATGCGCCGCAAAAGGTATAGGAGTTTCATCGACGATATCCTGAGAAACCCAAGCCGGTTTGACGATAGCTTCTTACTTAAGCTTGCTCATCCAGAAAACAGAAAAGAGGAGAGAGCACCACCAAAATCCATAGTTGATGTAGTCATTCTCTCCAAGATAGCGTAGAACTTTGTTAGTAGCCCAAGTTTGTTCTTATTGTTTTAGCCTTTGAATATGGATAGCCAAGATACTACACTTGTCATGTCATCTCAAGCAACTAGCTCACGAAGACGACTGCGAGATGAAGAACCGCTTGCACCACGACGACGTCGAAGGATTCCGAGGAACAGATCGCTGGTGATTGTATTTGAGGTCGAGCCTACCTACAATGGTCAGCCAGAAGGAGTGTTTGCAGGACAATTTCACAATGAAGACACGGAGGTTCATGCTTGGTCAGAAGTTGAAGGCGTGGGCCACTACCGTTAGCTTCAAGGATCATTGAATCACTTGCCTCGTGAACAACAATTGGAGTTCATAGCAGAGGTTATGCGACAGATCTTCATTTTCTTGCGTTGGTATTGACTGACGATAACATTGCTTCTCGAAGACCTCGAAGCTAAAGGAGGAGGTGATGTTAGGGACATAGTCCTTAGACCTTTCTAGAGACAAGTTTCTAGAACCTTCTAGAAAGAAGTCTCTAGAAACTTCTAGAAGATTCCTTGAATATTCTCTTAGAATATTCTTCAAAGATTCTCTAAAGATTCTCTAAAGATTCCCTTAGAAGGCTCTAGAAGATTCTTAGAATATTCTAGTAGATTCTAGGAAGTTACTTGAGAAGCTTCCTATCTCTTGGGTAGTTGCTCGAGAAGCTTCATAGTTCTTGAGAAGCTTCTGGATGCGCTTCCTTAGAACCATAGGCCAGTAGTATATATAGGAGTCGAGGCTGAAGAGTTCTTCAGTCTCGACAACACATCTCTTGGAGTTTTAGCTCATCTTTCTGGTGTTGTTCTTGTACTCATCTGTTTAATCTAGTTCTGCCACTTCTTCTTGAACTTCTTGTTAGATTTCAAGTCTGTATTTTGTGTCCGTGACAAATGCACACATATGTTGTATATGTAGATGGTAGTGTATTTGAATTCTTTAGGGTTGCATTATTTTTTATTAATATTTCTATTTGTCACTTACAAGATTGAAAACAATATAAATTTATTGTTCAATAATGTGGTTTTCCTCTTCATCATATGATTGTTGATTCAATAATTAATGTCTTTAGTTGATGTTTTTTTAATTCAAGGCTAGTAGAAGTCGATGTAAGAAATGATGTCTTCTTTAGAGATATAATCATTTTATCCTCATAAAATGATGATGTAGAAGATATTAATGAAAAGATTATGGCCATATTTTCTAAGAAAGAACAAAAATATCTAAGCGCTAATAAAGTTATTGTAAAAAATATTATCGATAATAATAATATTTATCCAATTGAATTCATTAAGTCGCTTAATCCATTTGGAATGGCCAAATCAAGGCTTTGTCTTAAGATTGAGACTCCATTCATGCTATATACAATTATTGCTTCTTGCCAAGGATTTTCAATGAAATTTGATTGGTGATTACATGACTAATAGATTGAGTCCTTGAAGCAAGAATTTCTTGAAGAGAAATTTGCTAGAAACTTGGTATTTATTCCATGGATTATATTAACTTCTACAACAAAAGAACTTTTGTTCTTTCAAAAGAGAAAGCAATTTCCAATCCATCTTGCATTTGCAATAACAATAAATAAATTCTAAGAACAATCATTGAAGCATATTGGTTTGGATCTATGACAACCTATTTTTTTCCATGGTTAACTTTATGTAATATTATTTCAATACACTTCTTTCTATTCTATCAAGATTCTTCTTCTTGTAAATGTGAATTTAAATTCCATGCTAAATATTATTTTTTTAAAAGTTTTAGTTAGATAAATATTAATAATTTATAATTTATATTTTATATTTTAATTTATATAATTATTGATTTTAGTACATCTATGAATATCTTAACACACCTTTATGATTTTTAATGTAATTCAATTTTTTTTTAATATTTTCATAAATAGTTCCTTGAACAAAATTAACTACTTTTTTTTGCATATTATCCTTAACAATGGCACAGGTTTACCTATCCTACTTTGTAGTTAAAAGCTCCATTGTGTATTTTATTTCTTTCTATTTGTATTGTATTGGTATATAAAAAATATTCTTTGGCTCACAAACATATCTTTCAAAAATAGCTTTTGAGTCACACTTTTTGTGACAACACGGATTCATGTAGTGTATATATATATAAAGATATAATGCATTCATACATGTTTCCATTCAATTTGAGTGCATTGGAATAGCTTTCTAGAAAGAATGTAACTTGTTTCAAGTTGCAAGAGTTCGCCACAAGGCCAACCGAAAATAAAGGAAAGCCATTCCGTCCAACCAACTGTCCACCATCCGTCCAACATCCGCCCGCCAATTAGTTCGTCGATCTATCGTCCGGCATCCGTCCGTCCGGCCGTCCGTCTGCTGGAATTAAGGGCCTCAAAGGTGAAGCTGTTGAAAGAGAGAGGGGGGGAGGGGGAGGGGGAGGGGGGGCAACGCCAGATCGGAGAAGATTCTAGACCCATGGCTCTGCCTGCGTCTAGATTCCGGCGAAGAAGAAGAATAAGTTGAAGAATCCCCACTCCGCCTACCCTCCCCACCCCACCCGCGCTCTTCTTCTGTGTTTTGACGACGCGGCGTCGCATCCTCAATCGAGTTCTCTGTGTTACGAACGAACCCATCTCTCAAGGAGCTCCCCCACCCCTGAATGAATCCCAGTTTACTTTTTTGTGGTTCTACTTTCACCCACGTCCTTCACGTGTCCACTTCCTCTGCCAAAGCTCTCGCTTCGATTCCTTTCCCACTCGATGGATGGCACACGCTTCCAGACCTCACCGGGGGGACGCTGATGTCTTCGTGCTGCAAATTTAGGGCCCGACGACGCGGAGCACAACCTTGTGTTGCCGTTTGGTTGCTAATGGATCCGTTCTTCCCACTTGGAGGATTCCATAATTCTGTTGCAATTCAGAACCAGGATGGGAAGAGAATGAGCAGTCGTGGTGATTCTTTTTCTTCGCTGGATTGGGATAAAGCAAACGAAACGCGAGATACGGGAATGAAGAGAGGTGTGAGAGGCTTGTAACGTCGGTGCCTACTTTTATTTTCCGGTGAGCGAGGAGGATGAATTCCTCGAAGCCGCGTGACCACAAGTTGTTTGTCCTTTAGGAGGCCGTTCTGTGGGTTTTTAAGTGACCGGAAATCCTCTGGAAGGGAAGAGCTGCTGGAAGAGTGACACTAGACACCTCATTGGTTAGCGACAAGTACAGCTGGTATTTCTATTCAGAGCTGTGTGCGTGGCTCATAGTCTCGTTGCTGCATATTAGATTGTACGTAATTTATTATTAAGGTCTTTATTATTTGCTGCAACAGAGCTCGCTCGAATTTCTCTTTTGAAATGTGGACCATATCTGTGAGGGCCAGTGTTCCTTCGTCCGAGGTGGCAAAAGACGTGAATGCCTCTTCAAGGCCAATTGCAGCTTCAAACCCGCGGGTTTTGTCATTTTCTTTAATTGAAAAGATAGATTCTGCTGTACCGCTCACGAAACTCACGTAAAGTTCTGTCTCTCGGGCGGCGTGGCTGGTCGGAGTTCCCTTTGGAAAAGCGCTCGGGCTTTGTGGGCTCACTTGTTTGGGCCTCTAATTCGGTGATAAGCTGTAACTCGATTACGTAATCAGGTCCAAAATTCTCAGAGTTTGGAGGTGTGGTTAGGTTTCAAGCTTTTTTTTTTTTTTTTTTTTGTTGATTTGGAATGAGGAATCAGCAGTAAGACAGGCTTTCCCCCTCAGTGCTGAAGGCGTAGAACCGCGAGTGGGGTTTTGGGCTGGATGCGTCATGAAACCTGTATCTCGCAGCCACCGACGAGTTTCATCCGCTGGTTAGACTGTACCCAGCGATTTGTGCTTGTGAGTGTGCCTGGTTCACTGAATACTCAACATTGGTTAGTGATTTACCCTCTTCCCTGCGCACTGAGGGGGATTGGCTTAGTGGATCAACGATCACATGCGAGATTTTCATGTTGGGAGGGGAGGCCCTAAGTTTGGTTTAATTCTGCGTTTGAGGAAGTTCAGACAGAAATAGATTCGCAATTCGTCAGGCTGCATCGAATAGTGGATGGTGGTGGGAGCAGCATGGTTTTAATCTTACTGTGTGGCGTTGAGTGGAGTGATTGCTGGGCAGCTTCTGTTGTTCGAATATAGGACGGGAAGCTGTTTTCAAACCGTGTCGCTAGAGGTTCCGGGCTCGTCACTCCACGGGGTTTGAATCTCGGAGTGGCTCGCGGATTCGGATTCAATCGTTGTTCGCTTCATTGAACGAGATGGTCGAAGTATACTGTTCTGCGGCGTCAGTTTCTGTACGCCATGGGGAGCTTGATTTCTTCTTTTGGCGATGGAACGCTTTGAAGTGATGGCCGTCTTCGAAGATTCACTTCCTTTGAGAGCGGGATGAGCTGTCTTTAGAATACAACTAGTTAGAGATCGATTTGTTTTCTGACACTGTGGATCTTAGAACACTCCGATCGTGATCAATCTTTTACATATTTCGAATTGTCGTCTAAGTAGCCTCAAGATCATGGGTGACGCTCAGGTTCCTTTGCTTGGCGAGAACTTAAAAGGTGAGGACTGGACCGAAAGCGTCAAACCAGACTTCGTAGGAATAAATATAATCTTCCGTGATCAAGGGGACTCTAAAGAAAGAGACTTTTCCAGTGACGAAGTGCGCGTAGCTGTGCCAATTTCAGACCACTTGGTGGAAAATGGCAGCCTGAAGGACAATGACTCAGGATTGGGAGAAGAGAGTATGGACGGGGATCTTAAACAAATGCAGAAGGCGCTGGATCTTTTCTCAGATGTACCGTCATTTGGTAAACTGTCTACCATAGATCCATTCGTCAACAGGACACCTGCAACGAAGGGATTATACGAGAGCTTGAAGACGTTGTTACTGTTGCCTGTGTTGGTAGCGCGTTTGCTGGTCATTGGGGTTATTCTTGTGGTGGGATTCGTGGCCACGAAATTGGCGCTGGCCGGATGGGACAAGTCCGAATCGGTTCTTCCGATATGGCGTCGCAAGCTTATGTTTGTCACACGGCTCTGTGGTCGGGGCATTCTTTTCTGTTTTGGGTGGGTCTTCAACCATATTTCACTTTTACATTCATACGATTCATATGTGTAGAATGAGCATGTGAAGGTGGTGGAATTCTCATAATCACACTGAAGTCGACGATGCAGTGATAAATGCTGTTCCCGACGGCTTTAAGCTTGGAGGACATGAAAAGTATGGCCTCAGTGATTCAGAAATCTGGTAACCCCTAGGTTAATTTAGTGCATTCTGAATTAGGTCTGGTAGTGAAAATGTTAGGCTTGCAGTGCGGAAAAAATTCTGGAAGATGATTATGAACACCCTTGCGGCGGAATTCAATGTGGGGGATTCTGGTTTCAGTCCTCGTTTTCACGAATCACAATAGTGAGACTCTGTTCTCCAACTGAGTTTTTTTTTCTTTCCGTGGTGTGCACGTGAGTCAGATTTCACTGGATTCGGCGTATTGGGCGTCCTGCACGCAAGGAGGTTGCCCCCATCGTGGTTTCTAACCATGTGTCATTTATTGATCCTATATTTTATTTTTATGAGCTTTTTCCAAGCATAGTGAGTTCTAAGTCACATGACAGTCTGTTCCTGGCAGGGACCATTATCCGTGCAATGCAGGTATTAAAGCTGTCTCGAACTCTCAACAGTTACTCCCGTTGCTTTTTGATCGAGATCCTACTTCTCAAGTCAACTTGGAATGTGTAACAGTGTCATCATGGTTGCATGCGTGGTGTAGGTTATCCCCGTCGACAGAACATCTGCAGAATCAAGGAAGTCTGCAATAAATGAAATCAAAGTACATCTCAGAAATCCTTAACCCTAATCCACTACCGTCGTTGAAGGTCAACACTGTTCTTCAATTGCCAGCTAGTAATATCGAAATGTTGAACGATCATGTACGGATGAGAAAGAAACTGCAATGCTTCTGGAGATAGTGTAGTTTACAGTATCAATCAATTAACAAAACTTTCATGGCAGAGAAGGGCGGCTAGCATGGAATTTCCCTCTGTGTTGTTGTTTCCTGAGGGTACAACAACAAACGGGAGGTCGCTGATTTCGTTTAAGCTAGGCGCATTCACCCCTGGTTTTCCAATTCAGCCGGTCGTCATCCGCTACCCCTTTGTCCACTTCGATATTTCCTGGTATATCTTGCTCCTCTCCTAAACTCAGGCAATTGCATTTAGTTCTGCTGCATAATCCAACACCATGCCTTTATTGTGTTCTGAGACAGTGCTTGTCTATTTTTGCAGGGGTGACATTTCATTGCCTAATGTGTTGTTTCGGATGTTCACGCAGTTTAGCAACTTCATGGAGGTAGAGACTTGCATCTCAGATCCATTTTAAAACTTCAAATCCTTCTTCCTTACTTTTGTATCATTCTTTTAAAGTTTGGGAGCAGCGGGTTGACGTATTGGATATGGTCCTCTTCTGGGCCGACTTTGTGCGTGGTGTGTGTTACTGATTTCAATGCTCCAACTGTTGAACAGGTCGAGTACTTACCTGTCGTTTACCCATCTGCGTGGGAGGTGGAAAATCCTGCTTTATTCGCTGAGCGGGTGGGATTCTTTGACTTTCCTCTTAACTGTCGAAAATTGGCTTTTTATTCGCGAGTTGGCCATGGTTATGGTGCCACGATTTTAATCTTGCAGAGACAGTACTGCAGGTTAGGTATGAAATGGCTCGGGCTCTCTGCGTGCCAGTGACCGAGCATACTTACGGCGACCTGATGTTGTCCGTAAATGCCCAGCGGCTTTGCTTGGTGCGCGGCCTAATTGTTCTCTACTCTGACCATAGTAGTATTTCAGCGTTATCATTCTTTTCCCCGTAGGCTTTAGTGCTTGCAAACTTGCAGTTCTGCTCGCTATTCTGAGAAAATCATTGTATGACGTACTTGTGTTATTATGATTATATGTCGACTTATGAATCGATTCTTCATCAATGGTTGTCTGCAGCGTTCACCAGCGAGCTACATGGTGGAAATGGGGTTAGTGGAGAAGGTAAGTTCGGTGAATGCATTTCAGTCAACCTTGCTTACTCAATACTAAATCTCATTAATGGCATCTAACGATGAGATTACTTGAAAGTTCGCTTAGCATATGAGTCCTTGACTGTGGTTGACAGACTCTCGGATTAAGGACAGGCGATGCGAAGAGCCTCCTAGAGAAGTTTGCCGCAATGGATCCATCCTATTGGTATGTGGCCTGTTTATCTTTATATTTCCTCGAGTAGATTACATAACTGGTAAGAAACCAGTTCATTAGATGAATTTGTGATGATTATGGTTGAAGTTAGATTTACAATGCTGAGCTCCCTCTCCGTTTTGGTGAACAGTGGCACCATCGGCATGAAACAATTTCTGGAATGGCACCATTTGCCGAAATGTTCGATTTCTAGAAAGGTAAACTCTGGTTCTGTGGGAGAGTTGGTGGTTCAGACCCCGCAGTAACTTAGGGTTGCTCATTCTGTTGAGTTAAATCGTTGTCCGTGTCAGTTTCCCTTGAACTTCTGCATTATAATTCTCGGTAACACTTCGAATCATGCTATGACGTGGCACGAGAAATGGTGATATCTCAACTGTTAATGTAATCAACGTTTCCTGTAGATATTTGATCTCTTCGATAAATCGGGACAAGGCTTCGTAACCTTCCGAGAGGTACTTTGTTCCATCTCATTCAGTTACTGCTTCTCGTTTTCTTTTTGTAAAACATATTATATTATTAGTTCGTTCAAATCAATTTGTTACTGCAAAGGTTATAAAATTCCTTGCTCATCATAAACTTGCTATTTGCTTCATTTTCTCCTATCGCAATAGAAGGTTGTTTTGGTGCTGGTTCTGGGCCTACAATGCCATGTATTTCCATCGCCTGAGCAGACCTGCCTGCCTGTTGATTGAGCACTATTATGTGTTATTTTGTTTAGTATTTGGCAGCATCGGGATCAATCTCGACTAGCAAAGAGTTCAACAGCCGTATGAGAGCAGCTTACAATGCATGCAGCTCTCCAGGCGGTGGTCGTATCTCGCCAGTGGAGGCATGTTTCTTTACTCATAGTGGATGAAAGTATATGGTCCTAATATTAGTAGACATTACACGGTATTGCATGGATTGTGGTGGAAGATAATCCCAGGTTATGTTGTTGGTCATCATTGGGAAAGGCATCCTCAACCAGTATAGAAGAGATTTTATTCACGTCCGTCCTACAGTCGTCCATTAAAGCCCTTCCACCTCTATTTTCTGCAAATCAAATAGAAAACATCAGCCTGAACAATCGTCTCATTTGTATCTGAAATCGTTGTACACATTTCCAAGCCTTTGTTACGCCTGGAACTTTTAGGGACTTAACTGGTATCCGTCATCTGAATTCATATTTTCACTAATGCTATGTATTACCATTGTGTGTTATGTAGCTGGAAAACTGCTTAAAGCTAAGTATGCCATCAATCAGCAACGCCAAGGTAATCCACAATCATGACTCGATAATGCCCTTAAACTCCGATCATCGTTGTTCGAGGGGGAAGATTCGTTATCAACACGGTTCTTTTAGGATTAGGCAGGTACTCTTGTTTTCTGCTTTTATATAGGAAAATGTCAATGTTTTAGTGAAGTCTTACATTGTTGAGTGATGCAGCTAAAGACGTGGTTCAAAAAACTCGACCTGGACGGTGACGGAGCCATCAGCTGGGAGGAGTTTCAGGTTTTCATTGAGGCCAACTCTGAGCTACTGCCAATTTTCATGGTGGGAACTTTTGTACATTGAGCTCATCCGACTTCATAGCAGCAAATGTATACTGTAAGTCTAATTTGAGTTGGCCCAATTAAGGGCAAATACTAGAACACTTAAATAGACACAGATCCTCTATCAATACACCATGCAATTAAAATTGGATTTGGTAACCATTTTTGTTGTTTCGCTTTTGTCGAATACATACACAAAGACGAAGCCGTATTTTTCCTTGGAAGGTGCGACAACATAACATTCTAAACTAGGTAGGAGATCTCAGACTTGGAACTGGAGCAAAAATCACTGTAGAAGCAAGTAGTGCTCACATATTAACATTGTTATTGAAAAGAATATAGATCTGCAATACAGATATTGAGTCACTTCTTCATGTGAAGTTATGCTGTGACATGTGATTCATAATTCTTTCAAAAGAACTTTTTGAAGGGATATTTATCAAACCTTTGTTAGAGAGTATTTTGATTGGATTTTTTCATGAATTCTAGGATGAAATGGGCTTAGAATCCTTGAAATACTGTTTCATGTATAGATGTAGTGATGATCTTGAATCAAACAAAGAAACAACATACTAAATAAATTGCATTTAAATTCAAGATTAAATGAAATTTGAGTGGCATGATGATGATGATGATGCAATTTGTATGTGAGATGATTTTTGAGAACGTATGAACCGGAATTACATATAATTTTGCTTACATTATATGGATATGTATTGAGTTGTATGAATGTAGATTACCTCTACTAAAACAATTATAGTTGCTAACTAAAATTTGATGCAAAACGCCCACAAATCTTTAAATTATTATGAAAATAATTGTTGACACAAATTAGACAATTAGATGATGTTAAAGAAGCATGTTAGTTCATCAAAAGTATGGGACAATTAAAATTACTACAAACTAATTATAAAAGCGTACTGTTTTTCTGAGCTACGAGTTAAAATAATTATAAGTATTATATATGCATATATACACACAACTAACTGATAAAAATGACGTGAATTTCATATGTTGGAAATATATAATATTTAAAATGAATATATTAATCAATTGAAGCAAAAGTTGATTTGTAAGATGTAATGTAAGATATTGTATTCTAATATTTCAATTGTAGTCTGATATATTTGTCTTCAACTTAAATGGTATTAAAATTCAATTAAATTATTCTATAAAGTTAGTTCAATTTCAGAGACGCTTTTAAAAATATTGATTATTAATATACTCAAATATTTATAATTATAGTGTTTCTTATTTTTTTTTATTTCAAACAAGATGTTTGAATGTAATAGCCTTATCTTGATTTTAAGATACATTCAAAATATATTTATAAGTTGATTATATAATATTTTGAAAATTGCATGAAATTTTGAGTAGCAATGCTAAAATATGTAAAATCCAAAAATAAGAGAGCAAAGATATCTCTTTAATAGATAATAAATTATCATGAGATACTTAATTTATATTTATACTTATAATATATTTACAATTATTACAAAATATATTTTAAAAAAATCTATACTCATTGAATTGAACATGACTGAAATAGAAATAACTAAGTCAAACATAATGTAAGGAACACATTAGGATTTTTGAATAAGCTGCCACATAATTAAGATTACAATCTATTATATTTTTATTAAAATCATTATTTTAAAGCCAAAAAAAATGAATACATAATTAATTAGGATATTTTTTTAACTATTAGTTCTAAGTTATTTATTAAAAGAACATAAAAATTTTATATTTTATATTAAAACATTTATACACATAAAGAAAATAATAAATTAATATAAATAAAAAACAAAGACAGCAACATTAGACTTTACAAAATATTAATAAGAGTATTAAAAAATTATAAAAAATATATTTTAATGAATTATTGTTTAAAATAAAATTATTCTATTGCTTGTATTTTATTTTCCCTTCTACACTCATCATCATTTTATCTTCCTTTGATTTTTTTTATAATTTTTTGGCAATGGCATTGCTTTAACAAATTTAAAGCTTAACTTGGTAAGTCAACCCAATTAATGTCTAGGCTTGACTTACATAATAATTTATTATTTTTGACTAGTTGTATTGTTGAATTAGATGTTGTTGTAGCTTCAAGTTATACTATTGGTGCTTTGGTCCTTCTTGTTCTTTTTTCAATATGAAAAGGCTTTCCTTTTATGTAGAAAAAGGTATCTTTGGAATAAAGGGATAGGAATATTTAGAGGTTCTATTTCATAGGCAATATTTTGCAAGGATTGTTGGACCTCTATCTAAGCTTGCAATTGTTCATGCTCCTACCAAAGAATGACATTTGTTTGTTATGACTAAAAGATATTATGTTGTGCAAAGAAATTACTATCATGGAATCTACACTAATTGAGATGCTTATATGTTTATTATAAAAGAATATATTAGTACTAAATTAAGAGTTTTATGAATAGAACTGAAGGTAAGAACTATCTATTTGGTTATTTCAAAGTAACTGGCTTATAAGAGTTTACTTCTTTTATTTTCTTTAAACTTAGTTTGCCATTATAAGTTTTGAACTTGCTCCTGCTTAGTACTTTAGTAAGTATGTTTACTAGTTATTTGCTAATTAATATAAAGTTGATTTAGATTTTTTTATTTTTAATCTTTTTCCTTGTAAAGTTCTAATTTATTTTAAAGTAATTAATTTTATCATTGAATTGCATTTTTAATATGTTTGAAAAAAATGCAAGCTATAAACTAATTTCACTCATTATCAATAGAATTGTTAGTATACTTTTGATAAAGAAGTTGGCAAGTATTTGATTTATAAGTGCTTGTGCAATAGATTATGCTTAAAAATAAGGTCCATATTGGTCAAGAATTGTGTCTTTCTCATACTTTGCCAAAGAATTTTGGCTAATTTGATCATTTTTAAATTAACTTTATAGATTGTCTTAATTAAGTAAGATTTGATTCAAATAATGTTGAGGTAATGGCATGGCAACATATTAAATTACATATATTAATCTATTATTATTATTTATTGCTTTTCACTACAAAAACCTTATTCGATTCTTTTAAATTTTTTAAATGATTATTTCTTGTTATTAACAAGCTATGGCAAAGTCAATTCTAACCTATTCACAATGATTTTTATATCATGGCCAAGGTGTTGCCAAACCTCATCTTACTATTATATGCTAGTGGATGAAAAATAATAAGCATAGAAATTTCAAATCATAGACTGATTGCACTTGCACTTATTAAGAGGTGGCTACGATGAAATTTTAATAAAAATTTTCATGGTGTGTATATTTTTTCATTGATACTATTTTTAAATTATATAATTTTATAAAATCTTATATAAGTTTTAAAAAATAAAATATTAAAATAATAAGCCTTTAATATTGTATGGCTATATTTAAAATTTAATCTTTTTGAATAGTTTATTCTTACTAAATTTTTAATATTTACTTTAAAATGTGGTTATTTTGTTAAATTATAATATAAAATAAAAAGTTTTAATGTCAATAAAAAATAAAAGTAAAAAGAAAAAAAATATTAGACTTAAATTTAAAAAATTATCAATATCAAAAATAAAATATATATACCATTGTATTTAAAAGTCTTATGTTAAATTTGATTTTTATAAATGACAAGCTACATGCATATCCCAAGTTATTATATGTACATGCTAAATTGCTATATCCATGTTTATTAGGTCTATACATACATCTAAGGCCTCTAATTGGTTGTTCTGCTAAAATATTGTGATTTGGATCATAAGTATGACAAAACATAACAAAATTGCAGAATTGAAGTTATTAGATTCAATCAAATATACTTATATTCCTTGTTGTATTAGCAATCATTGAATAGTATCAGTAGTTATTGCAAATTCTATATGACTATAGATTATTTTACTTGCTTGGTCCCACTTATAGTTGTTGTAGTTAATGTATTTGATATATTTGGAGTAATTGATGTTGTTGCTTATCTAAATTGTAGGCACCTATGGTTTATTTGCTAATTTCCAACATCACCTTACATGGTGCTAGACATTGTCAATATTTTGCATTCAAAGTACTCAAATCTAGATAAATGACTTCTTGTGTTATTTCTTATTGATAGATATTTCTTTGTTTATACTATTTGTTGTTCACTAATAAGCTATAGTTGTTGTTTTGACATAAACTAGAAGAAAACCAACTCTTTAAATGATATCAAAAATATTAAATTTAATGATTTTATGTTATTTATAAAACATTGTATTTTTAAAAATAAACAACAACATTCTATTCAATATTGTGTTTAACATCAATTAACATGGCATACATTTTAATAGTGAATTAATATTAATTTATTAAAATTAATGTATTTAGATTCTATTTTTAATCCAAAATATCTTTATCATCTTATATAGCTTGATTATAATTTTATATTAGTTCTTATAATTTGATATTTATTATATATCTATGATTTTATACATTAATTTTTGTGTACATCTTTTCAAATTATATAAGCCAACATTAATTTAGCATTAAATCTTATATATTTTATAGGAATAATTTATCATTTATACACTTGATACCACACAATAGTGACTTTAAAATATACATATTATATGCTATACAAACTATTGTTTAAAATAAAAATAATTAGTTTTTATATTAATATATAATAAATAAATTTAATTTATATTCCTATTATATTAATATTTTTATATTCTTATAGGAGATATTTTGCATACTATATAAAATTATTTAATTATAAAAATTATCTTTTAAATTAAATCAAAAGCAATGTATTCTTATAATATTCTATTAATGTAGTGATGCAATATATGAATCTTTAAATTGACATAAACAATGACTTCCTCTCTCTACTACCATCAAATAATAAGTAAGTTTTGAATAATGTACCTGAATATCTTTTTTTAATGAATCATCTAGTAAACTTTCATACTTATATACTTTGTCTTTAATGAAGTCTTTAAGAATGTTTAGAATACAAATATTTCTTTCTATAGAGGATACACATTTCTTATATCATTTGTTTATATACTTTGTTGGAATGAAAACATCTAAATTTTAAATTAGATTCAATTGAAGAAAAAAAAAAACTTTCTTCTTCTTTAGCAAATTTTTATTCTTTTCTTTCACTTCAAACTTCCACATTTGTGACCAAATTTCATCTTAGTGTATACAAATCTTTGGAGTAAATACTTGCTAGTCAAAGATAATAAAATTATAAGAATTTGGACCAATATTGATCAATGCTAAAGAAAAAAAAAATTACAATTATAAATTTGTAGTGGTTCTTTTTAGTTGTTAGATTATCTTTTTAATATAGGTTTTTAATCTAGTTTTATAATAGAATTACAATGGTATGATTTTCATAATTAAGCTAAAATATTTCTTTGATCTAGCCAAAGAATTTGATATAACATGATAGTTGAAAATTGCAACATTGCCAAT